GGAGTGATACACAAAACAACATGAGATCACCCTGTGTCCTATGCACACTCTATAGAATAGCAGTGATTTGGATTTTGAATTCTTATAATAGTGATTAATAATCGTTTTTTTCCCTTTTAGTTGATAGATGGCATTTTCTTGGACAGTGAGCACTACAAGTGTCTGAAATCAGGCTACAAGACTGCCTGTCTACTTCATCTGTTTTCCCCGTGCCCCCACCCCACCCTGCACATGTGGGTACAAACACATTTCACTGAAGTTATGCAACTGAATCCACCTGTGACTGGACTCCATTGCACTGTAGATTTTCTCTCCTGTAAATAAAATGGATTTTTACAATTTTCTTCTGAATTGTCCTCTGTCATTAAATGGCCACAACTCAGAAAGCGATAGGGACGCCTTTTCTGGGTCGCTGTTTTGGACTAGAAATCGGAATTGCAGGATACCAATATAAATAAAGTTTTGCTTAATGGGTTTATTGAATAAAGCACTTGGCTGGTTGTTGCAAAATATTAATGAAACACTTCAGAGTCCTTCTGCTTTGTATGACAGAGTTAAGCAACATCTAAAATCTTAATCATTGGAATAAGTAGGGCTTCTTGTGTGCTATTAGATAATGCCTGGTATGAAAGGGGTTGTTTTATAGTTACAGTAGGAAAAGCAAACACAGGTAAGTAAACATTTCACAGTTCTACCTGTGTGGAGTTTTGTTTACATAGCCTAACATTAAAAAATACATCCTTATATAGATTTCAGGTTCAGCTGAGGTCTGCATGAGATCATACGATGGATTTTGCTGTAAGAAGAGCCTTGCCACGAAGAAACTATTCTTCCCAGCTAAAGCTGGGTGGTCTAGGTGGAGAGAATGAAACACGATCCATATTAAATCAACAATTAAATTGGCATATAATTTAGTATTCGTGGTAGTTATTTATAGAATCAAACATTTAACTGGAGAGGAAAAAGTTTTGAAGAAATGGTTCCGTGGTATTTCTGTCTTACGAAGATGAGTCACTATAAGCTGAAGCAAAGAAATATACAAAGAAGAATGTGGTGTTCCTACAGTATGCTAAGGCATGACTTGTTTAGTCAGGAGCAAACCAGGCGGTCTCAGATCACTCATTCGGTGCCCATAGCTAACCAACCACTTTATAGCTTAATGCAATGAGTAATCCCAGAACACAGTTTTGTATACACCAGTAGCAAAAATGAAGGAAATAAGCAGCCCTAAACCTTCAAGAACTTAAAGGAACATGGTAACCTGCCTTCTTTTAGGAAGATGCCTTGTGTTGGCATGGCCGTTGGCCTGTCACAGCCCAAATTTGTCTATGCAGACTGGCAAAATCTCCAAGATGGAGGTGAGAGATTTTCCAGTTTTACTTGGAATAAGAATTAAAGTGGGATTTTCTGCATGAAAAGTATGTTTGGTAATGCAGCTATGGCCCCACTCTATGGTGCAGATAGCATAATGAATAATATAGCTCAGTTCAGATAAAACATTCAAATTATTTATTCAAATTATTCCATCATTTTATTCAATTTATTCAAATTAATGAGTTCTTGTCCCACCGTAGGCATGAAAGCCGGCTGGGTGACTTTGGGCTAGTCTCTCTCTCTCTCTTCCCAACTCACCTCACGGGGCAAAAATAGGAGGAGGAAGGTGTATTAGGTATGTTCGCCATCTTGAGTTATTTATAAAAATAATAAGGCATTAAAAAAAAATTATTTTTTTAAAAAAATTTATTGCACAAGCTTGGGAATGTCTTCAACGTTTAGCATATTCCTGAATGTCCTGTGGTGAAGTGACTGTAGTTCACAGCACTTCTTAAACTGGATAGATTTGGCCAATTGGTTCAGGAAGTGTAAGAGGAATTTTGGGCATGTAGATGCCAAGAGGCCATCCCAGCTTAAGGTAGGATCTCAGTGTGTCATCTGACCTGCACAAAGATCTTATTAATTTATAGTTTATCTACAAGATTAGATTATTTCCCCAGTTTATATAAGTCGATTTGCTTATGCTAGTGGCATCCTGTATGAGAGCATTTTCATTACTATTATTTTACGTGGCCAAGAAAGGATTACAGTGTTGGATTCTCAGGCACAAAATAGTTCATACTATTCAGTGCTTCAGTTACTTAATCATAAACCACCAATTTTGGTTGCTGCTTTGTTTCTGAATGGAGTTGAAGAGTGAGTTTAATTTTTAAAGCTTTTAATGGTTACAGAGCTTGATATCTTAAGGCAGAGATGTGCAACCGCAGATGGTTCAAAGACCACACTCCAGAAACACAGGTTCCACCTGGCCAATTGTTTTATTTGCAAAGCTAAGGAGATTCATTTAGCTCTTTTGACCAACCCCCCCCACCCCACCAAAAAAAAAAGGCTGCACGTTTTGAACCTCCTTGAGGTCTGCTTTCTTCTTTCCCAGGCTGCCTTCATGTTAAAATCTTTCCTTGTAGCAGGAAAATTTGTCTGCCTCTAATTTTGTTTTTTAACAAAGAATTCAGTGTTAGGTGTGTGTTATCCATCCAAGGATATTAAGCAATTTTTTTTTTTTTTTTTGGCAAGGGGGCCACGTCAATTGACGGTAGAAACAGTTATATTGTAAATAAATAATTTTTTATTCTTTGTTATTGCCTCTGTTTTAAATGTTTGTGTAGTGGAAAGTGTGTGGCATTTATTCAATGAATTTCATCATAGGTGCACTGTGTGTGACTAGTCTTACAGAAAGGTGGTATTAAAATATAATAAATACAGACTCCCCCATTGCCCATTTAAGATAAGCATAATACAGGAAAGAATTAACTATATATTCTTTGTGCAAGTTTGAAATAACTACCCAGGGCTTTGCCAGGAAATTAACACAAGTTGCCACTTTTTCAAGTACAGTGGTACCTCGGGATATGAACTTAATCCGTTCCGTGACTCTGGACGTATCCTGAGTTGGTCGTAACCCGAAATGTTCGTTAGTAGAGGCATTCATATCCCAAGGTACCACTGTATTAGTAAAAGTCTGAAATTGCTTGGGGCTGAACCAGATACTGCTTGTGACAACACAACACATACTGCTTACACTTTTCCCCAGTTAAGGAGCCTGGATGTGTGCACTGGTCCATGCGAAGGTGCTGTCTGCAGCCACTGAGGCAGACGCCTCAGGAAGGGCTAAATCAAGCGCAAAACCTCTGGACTCACAAAGTTTTGGCTGTGGTCTCCAGAGCCCCTCTAAAAGTTTCTATTGAATTGTAATGTGAAAGTATCAAAGACCTAAATAGCCAATTAAATAGATGTAATTAATTTCTACTGACTGTTAAACCATACATGTAGTCACAGCATTGCCTACTTTTTAGAGTGCTCCCCTGGTGCACCAGTTGAAGATGGTCCTCCCCCCCCCAAATTTGTACAGTTGCTCAGAGTTCCCCTCCCTCCTTATGCTGTTCCAAACATACCTGCTATTAAATCTCCAGTGCTTCTATTTCCAAAGTCCTCATAAAACAAATTGGCCTCTGTATCCACAGTATGGAACATGTTCTTTTTTTAACCCTCTTCCCCTATTTGGAAAATGTCATTTATTAAATGCATAATCTGTTTGACTCCATTGCAGCTCTGGACAGTGTATGATAGAACACTGCAGCCTTCACTTCAATGCTTAACAATTTTGACCATGTGGTAATTGTACACTTAAACATAGTAAAAAATAAGTGACAGCAGATCACTTTGCAAACTGAGAAGCCATTCTGGCTGTTCTTTGTAGTTTATAGTTATCCTGGTGAAGTTTACTTGGCCATTCAGCAATCTGATCTTCTGATCTTAGACATCTCTCTGTGGCCTTGTTCACACAATATCCTCAACAGGATATGGGTGGGGTGGTACAACTCCCATAGGGTAATTTTGGAATGTGACCTACAAAAATGATAATAATAAACAAAATTGGAAAACCAAGGCAATTGTTCCAGCCAATGATCCCTAAGGGTGTCAGATTTAGACAGCCCAAGTCAAACTAAGGCTCTCTGGAAATTAACTAAGTCTCTGATCAGGGATTAACTAATTCCATGACAGAAACAAGATTCTCAAGGGGACGTGCAAATTTGCTTTTCAGCCCCTTGTATAGGTCAGCCCCTTTCTCAAACTGGAGCTGGATGTTCTTCTGTGAATGTTTGCAATGACACAGGGACTTTAGGGGGAAAAAAGACTTGAGGGAAAAATGGTGAATGATTTCAGTGTTTCCACCCAAACTGTCACGAGAATTCAAAATTTATTAAATTTGGGGCATCTTTTAAATGAAAAGAAATATATTTGGGGAGGGTGTCTGTGAATGCCCTCTGTTGGGAATGTCACAACACCTTGGTTTTGGGTACTTTGTGGTTCTCTAAACAAGAGCAAGCAATGATAACCAGGCACCAAGGGAAATACTTTGTGCTTCAGGCCATTCTCTTTGTTTTTGGCCTCCTCACGATCAAGAACTTCCGCTCTTTTACTGAGTGTAGTAAGTGGGCCAATCTGGTGAACTCCACTTCCAAGCAGACTAATAAAGAATGCTAGGAGGCATCATCAGAACTCGGGAATGAAGTAATTTGCCACCTAACATTGTCACTGCCAGGACAGCAAAGGTTTCTTTTGGAGGCAAATTTTCCATATAGAATTTTGTGGCCCTTAATGGCACTTTTGAAAAAACTGTCTTCATTATAACAGAACCAACTTGCCTGGACTGTCGATGATATAAAATGGTCATGGTGATTTTTGAGAGAATGGAATACCTTGGGGAGCCCAATTATAACTGTGGTAGGAAGAAATTCATAAATGTAATTTTGGCTTCCTCCCTTGCCTTTATGTTGGCCCTTGAATGAGCAGCTTATCTGCTGCTTTCAGGTTCTCAGTGGAAAGCACATTAATGGCCTTTTTACTGGCTCATGTCTGTACTGGTTGAGATTCTGATTCTTTCCCTTGCTTTCACTAAAACAAATGCATCATGCTTACAGT